TTCTCATTTGTATTGTGTGATCATGTCTATCAAGTTATCTCCCCTGCCGTTGGAATTATTATTTGGGTGACAGAATTAGATATGTCATATGTTCTTATTTTTGTATGTTACAGGCACATACAAAGGTTTTTTGTTAGGGGATTCAGCCTACCCCTGCAAAACCTACCTGATGACACCATTCCTCTCTCCAGCATCTAGAAGTCAAGAAAAGTATAACCGCTGCCAAGTCCGAACCAGAGTTTTAATAGAACAAAGCTTTGGCATCTTAAAGCGGCGATTTTCTTGTTTACATAGTGGCCTTAGAACATCACCAGAGAGGGCCTGTCAAATTATCACAGCATGTGTAGTACTTCACAACATAGGAATTGATAGAAAAGATATAATTAATTTGCATATATGGAATGGAAAAACTGCCAATGTCAATGTCAACATTGCTAATGACTGGAGTGGTGTTAATGTCAGAAATTACATGTGCCAGTCATTCTTCTCAGAAATCTATTTGATGTATGGAAGGGAAGATTTAGTCCCCATACCAGATGCTTGTTTTAACAATTGACTAAAATATTCATTCAGTAAGCAGATTCATCTTATGAACCAAGGTGTGAATTTGATGCATGAATAACTATGTGTATCATATGTGATTATATATACATATGTAATTGTGTACCAAAATGTTTGATTTGTGTGAGAGGATTTGTGCATTTTCATGTGTCCAGTTGATGTGGTATAAACCCACTGCCTCCACTGAAATGTATCAGTATAGATGCATCTACAGTAATGAGTGAGTGAGTGAGTTGGGTTTAACACCGCTTTTAACAGTATTCCAGTTATATCATGACGTGTCAGCTTAATGTGGGAGGAAAGCCCAAAGTGATGCAGGTCTCAGACATTTACCACTTCGATGAAACCCACGAGCACGGGTATGGTGCTGACAAACCTAGAAACATAATAAGGGCGAACCGGGATTCAAACCCACAATCATAGGTTTCTGGCGTGCCCAAGGGACCCAACTCTGCACAGCGAGTCGCGGCGCCTTAGACGACTGGGCCACCCGTGCCCCCTCTACAGTAATGAAAGATAAGAATATTTTTGTATGACTAAAATGGCCAACATTTATTGAAAAATACCTCCAAAAGTTTGGCATTTTTCATGTGAATGGACAGACAGACTGCACACATTCTTATGGCACCCTTCCACTTCATATCATAGCAGGGGATAATAAATAAATCCACAATAGTATTTCAAGTTCAACATTTATTCAGAGTAAAACATTGATAAAAATCAGATTATCTCCCTTATCAATGTTATCAAGATTACATCCATTCCAATAAAGTATTCAAATTGTTTTTGGGGCCAGACCAAACATATCAGTTGATTTGCAAAGATTAGCTTACAGGTAATGTTATTGAACTCAAGGATCAGGAAGATACCTGCTCATCATAACACAGGTTTTCGTTTCTCTTAAAGTAAGAGTACATTGAAGAAAATTGGCAAAAGTAGAGTTGAAAAAAGGCTTACATTCAGTTACACAAATTTAGGGCAAAACCTGAAAAAGAAGCTTGCCAATATTTACATGACTTATTCCAAGTAAGATAATACTAGACAGTGAATGACTGCATGTCATTAACTATTGTGTAAATTGAGGCCAGATAAATATTTATTACTTTATTACACGTTTACAAAAAAATATTGGTTTTTTTTCAAGAAGGCAGCCAGTAATTTGAGATTTTCAAGTCTCAGTCTCAGATTAGTTCCTAATGTTTGTTCAGGGGTATTTGCCAATTTGTTTCACATACTATAAAATGGTGTTAAAATGGCGACGTCCCAGTTGATGAAACAGTGAGTGAGTGAGTATGGTTTTACGCCGCTTTTAGCAATATTCCAGCAATATCACGGCGGGGGACACCAGAAATGGGCCTCACATGATGAAACAGTGAGTGAGTGAGTGAGTATGGTTTTACGCCGCTTTTAGCAATATTCCAGCAATGTCACGGCGAGGGGGGGGGGGGACACCAGAAATGGGCCTCACATGATGAAACAGTACATCAGTGTTTGATATACATGTGTATACTGTAGAAGTTGATTTTGGAAATATTGTATTGCAAGTTCTGATGTGATTTTTTTTTGTTGGTGTGTATTGAACTGGTTGCAAGCAAAAATGTGGAGGGAAAAATATTTGTGGTGAAAGGGCAGCTTGTATTTCTGCAAATACATACAAAAACATCTTGTTTTATACTATTGTTTGTTTGTTTGTTTGTTGTTTAACGACGCACTCAGCAATATTCCACCTATATGATGCGGTCTGTAAATTAATCGAGTCTGGACCAGACAATCCAGTGATTAACATCATGAGCATCGATCCATGCAATTGGGATCGATGACATCTATCAACCAAGTCAGCGAGCCTGACCACCCGATCCCGTTAGTTGCCTTTTACGACAAGCATAGTCGCCTTTTACGGCAAGCATGGGTTGCTGAAGACCTATTCCACCCCGGAATCTTCACGGGTCTTTTATTCTATTGACATCTGATTATAATGTCTTACCATTGTCACAAAAGGCACTTTCTGTTGATGTCACTGCCTCCAGGAGTGAAGCTGCAGCTGAATCCCCATCTACAGCACAATAAGTAACGCAACATCACCACATATGCAAAACACACATGCTATCGTGTGCAGATCCTACCTCTGATGGTTTCTACCTGTTTGACTGCACTGGCACTACTTTACATATTAGCCTTGAATAAACCTGTTGCCTGTAGACTGCAGGAGACGCCACCCAGTGAAATATTGTGTTGTTGATAAATGTGTTATGTAAACCTGACTTAAAATAAATCAGAACATAATGTCTACATTTTCAATAAACGGTTCCATCACTTAAAATACAATATGTTCATTATCAGTATCCTTTGACATTGTATCAATGGTCACGCATCTTTGTATAAATCATAATTGTATCAAAAAATGTTAGGACATGGTATCAAAATGTTATTTGAACAAGATGAGGACGTAAAAACATTACAGAAAGCGTAACACTTTAGAAAGTTATGTCTTTAGCTTGTTCAGCCAACAGTACGCAACTTATCTCCCTTGAGTGTCAGTTCCACAAGCTGACCTTTGGAGGGTTAGGCCTCCTTATTTCATCTGACTTTTCTTTCGCTGAACGAAGGAAAACTACTGTATGCATTGTGTAGGCACTTTTAACACAGACATTTTCAATAAACCCTTATAGTGAGTTATGAGTGAATAATTCAAGGGAAGATGGGAATATTTATTTATGCAAATAATGAAAACATTTATGAAATTGTACAAACAATAATAATTAGTAGCAAGTTGCATACAAAATACAATATACAGCGTCATTTGATATGTAAACATACATCTCTGTTTCAAGTAGCATATTGCTTCCTGCCCTCATCTGCAGATCTTCGCACAAAACTGTTTTTTTCTGGAATACAATTTGCTTCTTTTCAGTAAACAATTTTCACAGTTATGCTAAAATATTATGATATGTCATTCACAAATTTATCCAATATTTTGGAATTTTTTTTAAAATTCTCACTGATATGTAGATATACGTTTACTAAAATAGGCTACATTATGTCATTCATTTTCAACAACATCATCAACAAAGGCAGGTCCAGAATTTAGAAAATGGGTGAGTTTGGGGCAGTGTTAATTTATTTTAATGAGGGCTATGAATACGTGTAGCGGTGCACATGGGTCTGACAGTCTTGGCTGGGATGCGTGTAGACATGCATTGGTTCGCGTTGTCAAAGGCTCAGTGTACCCAGCAGGGTAATTCGATTTCCAACATATACTTAGATATAGACTAACATCTAGTCTCTGAAATGAAAATATCGTACATAAAAAAACAGTTGTTCAGTTATCTTAATAAAAATATAATAAAAAGGAGCCCAGTGACTCTCTTCATTTTCAGATACTGCAGTGATCTAGACTTGCCAAACATTATAGACTTGCATGGGCTGTATTTGATATATATTTATATCAGGGTCTGTGCCTGAAACTGCAGTGATCTAGACTTGCCAAACATTATAGACTTGCATGGGCTGTATTTGATATATATTTGTATCAGGGTCTGTAAGACAGACTAACTTAGATACTACATTCAATGTTACATCTGAATAATAATGTGCATCAACTTACGCATTTAGGACCTCGGTAATCTGCTCCCGATGACTGCTCCTTGTTTTTTGCGCCCATGCCACACCCCTTGAATTTTCCAAAACAGCGATCGTGACGCATATGTACTTCTTCAACAAGTAGCTCCCTCTCCCCCTCGGTCCAATTCGGCCTCCTCTTGTCACCATCGACATTAAACCGTCGCGTCTCGTACGTTGACACTCATGTGCAGATGGCAAAGTGTTTACGGTCCAGTGTTTACATTGAAAGCGGAAGTCAAATCTCGCGCCAAGGCCGCTTACATCGCATAAAAAAACTGAGATCGGACTTGAGTCCTGTGTTGAAAACTCAGCTGAGTTTTTGCCGAGTTTGATTTGAGAAATGCAGTTGAGTTATAAACTCAGCTGAGGTTTTTTTTTGCAAACTCAGTTTCAGATTTGAGTAAAAACTTAAGTTTGTTTCGAGAAATCGGGGCCTGACCTAGATTACACATGTATGGTTAGAACATGCAAAACAAAAGATGCATCAGCAATGTGCATAGAGTTATGATAGGCGTACAGAAATATCGAGAAATCGGGATCGATCCCCCGACCTTCCGCTCTTACAGGAATTCTATTTCCCTGTATAAACACCATCAGAAAATATAGTCTTTTTGTTAGATAATGAAATATTTCATATATTTCCTGCTTTATCGTAACCAATTATGCAAATAATGGCGATTCTGTAGATCACAAACAAGCGGTTTTCGTTTCAGGTAAACTTGATTCCCATCAGTAAGTTTCCAAACCGGAATTACCACGGGAAAAAGCACCCGCGTATAAACCCACTGCTGATATAGTATTTATAGTAACGCGTAATCGGCAATGTCACGTGATACGGAAGGGAATTCCCCGACTGGAGTATTCGGGAAGCATTCAGAGTCAAGTCGCTCGCCTCACACGAAGACAGCGCTACGTTGTCAACATCTCTGCCACTCCTCCGCCAAATGTAAGTTAATTTCAACTCATAGCATAATATTAGTGTTGACAACACTTTTAAATACAGTCGCATCGAACTTGAAGTCGCATTCGCCATTTTGTAAACTCCTCGAGCTGTGCGGCATCTTCTAGCTGTATGTGACGCAGTAGGAATGTGTACGACTTCAACTTCTAAATGGTTAGAAAATGTAATTGGGTTTGGCTGTTAAATGTACTTTAGATACTTTTCATACGAATATAGCGCCAAATCATTACTTACCGTATTCGACGTAATAAGCGCCCACGGCAATATTTGCTAATCATTGGCTAGTGAACAATCCCAAATAACACCCCTTCCGATTGATCAATGACTACACAAGACTTATTCATTCGTGTATAATACGCACCCGTGTGTTATAAGCACCCTTATATCTGTCGTATATAAACATTTCAGGGTGTCAGCATAAACCACGAAATTTACGTTCTTTCAAATCAGTTTTTTTTCATCAAAATAATTTTCTAATAAGAGCCCCTTATTTCTATTTTTGAGAGCTCCCTGGGCGCTTATTACGTTGAATACGGTATATGTGTCAATCTTTCTTTTCCCCAGTGAACTGAATGCGGAGTGACAAGTTTTTTAATGCATCCTTCAATAGTTACATCGCAACAAAACACAACAGGACACCTTTCCTTTATTACGTTTGAAATATATTTTCACTTTATACAGACAAATATTACTTGTTACTAATTATTGACTTGATGAAGTTATATATACAGCATGCCTGCTGTGAACACGCTAAGGCATATATACATGATTATCTCCCCTTATTTGTAAGAGCTTAGTGATGCATGTTGGGAGAAGGGCTGGGACGAGTCCAAATTTACATCCCAGGTACCCGACCCCTATTACCTGACCCTACCCAGGTACCCTCTGCAGGTCTCAAGAATTGGGAACAAAATGTCATTGGGAATTGTTTTACCGCAGACCTGGCCAAAACTATTCAGATACACGTATCTGATGATCAGATCATGCGTACACTGAAGTTGACTAAAGCTTTATCTTTATTCAAACATTTACATGTCAAAAGGAATGTGTGCATCGTCAGAAAGAAATGCAAACATTAGCGACTTGTAGTGTAACCACTGAGCTATAGTGAGTTTTTGCCATAAAACAATATATCACGTGACTAACCACAGGTCTGGGTAGTCCTGTGGGTACCCGGGTCCTACTCAGGACCCACCTGACCCGAGTACCCGAGTTACCCGTCCCAGCCCTAGTAGGTAGTGCAGATATCTATATTTCAAGCTACACTGAAGTCTGTGAGTAGGTCCATGTAGGTGTCAGTAACCGAGGACAGTCCACAGTGTCATGTTCATTATTCACATCATGTATTATTTATGGAACACCTCTGGCCCAGGGGGCGGTCGGGTAGCCTAGTGGTAAAAGCGTTCCCTCGTCACGCCGAAACACCCGGGTTCGATTCCCGACATGGGTACACTGTGTGAAGCCCATTTCTGGTGTCCCCCGCCGTGATATTGCTGGAATATTGCTAAAAGTGGCGTAAAAATCAAACTCACTCACTCACTCACCTCTGGCCCAGGGACTTACACATTCTACGGACAGAGTTGTCTTTCTTAGTTGTACAAGGTTCCGCTGATTATGGGGTCAAATCTCTCTTTTCCCCTGATTAAGATACTGGTTCTATCAGCAGCTTACCAGCAGAGCTCCAGATAACATTTTGAGCAATTGAGTTTTTACTCTTGGGTTTCTATTTTAATTGAGTTATCAAATTTAACATTGGATAAATAATATTTTTCACTCATCCATTCATCACTCTATTGGGGTTGTTTCCAAAATAAGTGAACAGTTTAAGATTTTAAAAAATGAAATATTTTTTAGATGAATATAACGGTTCTAAATATACAGGCTTGACTCAGAAAGTAAATTGACTCATAATTGTGATTTGGAATATAGCTCCGTTGTACGCAAGCTGAAAAAGCTCCATTGGGTATTTACGCGTGCTGATTTTATACATTTGAGTTTTTCATTTAATGCATACGTTTCTGTACCAAAAATAATTGAAAGTAATTGGGTTTTGAAAATGTTTGGGGAGTATTTTACGTAAATAAGCATCTAATCTGTAGCTCTGTTACCAGTGTTCATGGTTTTCACCAAAATGTTTAGATTTCTATAGTCTGTCAACAACCCCTGTCCCTTATGCTTTTTCCATATCACATTGAGGTTTACATAGAGTGAGGGGGCACGGGCGGCCCAGTTGTCTAAGGCGCTGCAGTTCGCTATGCAGAGTTGCATTCCTTAGGCATGCCAGAAACCTATGATCATGGGTGAAAACACAGAAAACAGATGTCGATTGAGCTGAGGTTGAGTTGTGCATTGTGCGAGTGTACCCCTCTGACAAGTGTAAATTGGCACGGCTCCCATGACGAAAAGCTATGAATTCACAATGCCTTTCAGAAAGTGGGCAAATGTAACAGATGTTATATTTGGGATAACACCTTTTAGTAAAGTACAGATTCTCGTACGTTTGGGGGTTGAGTCCCATCCGGGATTCGAACCCGTGGGAGCCGTGCCAATTGACACTCGTCAGAGGGGTACACAAAGTATGTGATCTAGACTACCAGTTGTCGGACTTTCATTTTAGTGGAAGCCTCGGTGGCTGAGTGGGTTAGATCGCTGACTTTGTGTGCTGGCGATTAGGTGCCTCACTCTGGTGGTGTGGGTTCAAATCCCGGATGGGACTCAACCCAAAAAATTACGAGAATCTGTACTTTACTAAGAAAGTGTTATCACAAATATAACACCTGTTACATTTGACCACTTTCTAAATGGCAATTCACACTTGATTTCTTATTCTCAGCTCCCTGGGGAGTATCGAACACAAACTGCCTTTGAGGTGGTAGAAGGTAAACAGTAGCATTACCATCTCATCCTACTGAGTACCCATTTGCTGGAGGGTGAACAGAGGCACATTTAGAACAAAGTCACTTGCCCAATGACACAACACTGAATAATAATCTAAGCATGTGTGCATTCAAATGAATTATTCCTTTAGAGTCAAATTGAGGAAAAATCAACATTTCATTAAAATTCATTAGGCGCTGGATAAAGTGATCCTCTAAAAAAATATTAATTTTGATACATGTCATCGTATCCCAATTACGAAGGTCAATGCTCCTGATGTCAATCACTGGATTGTCTGGTCCAAGCTCGATTATTGCCAGACTGCTGTCATATACATGTAGGTGGAATATTGCTGAGTGTGGCATTAAACAAACAAACAAAGCATGGCCCAGCTCTGTAGTTTAGTGGATTGAGCCTCTGCCCGGAGAGTGGAAGGTCGGTGGTCTGATCCCCAGCTCCGTAGTCTAGTGGATTGAGACTCTGCCCGGAGAGTGGAAGGTCGGTGGTCTGATCCCCAGCTCCGTAGTCTAGTGGATTGAGACTCTGCCCGGAGAGTGGAAGGTCGGTGGTCTGATCCCCTGCTCCGTAGTCTAGTGGATTGAGACTCTGCCCGGAGAGTGGAAGGTCGGTGGTCTCATCCCCTGCTCCGTAGTCTAGTGGATTGAGACTCTGCCCGGAGAGTGGAAGGTCGGTGGTCTGATCCCCAGATGCGTCAGCATCAAAAGATCTTAAAAAGGGTACCTGTTGCCAGGCATATTCAGCATTAGGGTGATAAAACAAGGACTGGTCGGCTCGGAGTCAGCACACTGTGTCTGGGTGGGGTATTCATGTTAAACTGCAGCATGGTATCTCAGTGGGCTAGCACCATAAACCGGTACAATCCTGGACTAGTACAAGCAGCCACATGCACACACACATGCATGCACGCCGCTATGTAAGAGCAATAATCTTGAATGCGACATTAAACCCATTTCACCTCACATTTGGGTGCACAAACAGGTATGGGCACATCAGATAGTTCGTCGAAATGCATTGAGCAACAATCTAGCTATATTATGTGGTGGCACGTGGTCCTGTGCACAGCACAAAGGTAAACAAATCAGGTGAAGTTAAGCAACGTCGGTCCAAGAGACTAGTTTGATGGGTGACCGCGTTTTGGCAGCTTGGCTCCAGAGAGTTTCTAGGGCTTCGGTCCTGCCCCACACTCAGTGCCACATGTTGTGTATCCTTAGGCAAGTGACTTTGTTCGAAATGTGCCTCTGTTCACCCAGCAGTGAGTGGGTACCTGGTAGGATGAAATGGTAATGTTAACCTTCTTCCGCCTCACAGGCAGCTCCGGGTGTATACTCCCAAGGGAGCTGAGAACGAAAATCAAGTCCATTACTCAAACTAATCCTGACTTATAATAACATTAACATTTCACGTCAGATGGTAATATCAAACGAAAATCTGCTTTAGCCACTCTGCTTAGTTTATACAAGGATTTATCAAGGCTTCCAAACAAGTGCCCTTGGCAGGCAAATTGGGAAAAAAATACTCTGTTCAAACTCGAGATTTTAATAGAAATCTTATTTCCTAAATTCAGTAATGTAACATTCTATTTCATCACTGCATACAAGGGTAAAATTAGGCCAGTGCGATAAAGCCTCCAGCTCTTTATTACTACTGTTATCATTGAAATACAAGAAATACTGTTATCATCTCCATTCTATTCTTGTCATTAGAGGCGATTAACGGGATGAGGTGGTCAGACTGGCTGACGCATGTCATCGAAAATCAATTGCGTGGATCGATGCTCATGATGTCAATCACTGGATTATCTGGTCCAGACTCGATTATTTACAGACCACAATCATACAGCCGAAATATTGCTTAGTGCGGCGTTTAATAACAAATTATTTTTTTTAAATATGCAATTTGAAAAACAAATTTTCTTTTTGAAGACTTGTATTGAAATATTTCAGATAGAGAAATCAATAGCACACAAGAACATGACAATAAGACAGTTTGACAGAAAATGGAAACAAATTGCAAATGAACTGTCTAGGTAATAATTTCTCTCTCTTTTTATCATGATTAGTTCCCACTACTGTGTTGTGGGGATATAG